CAGACCTCGATTTTTGTGACCCTGCTCGTGACTTGGGAGATCCAGATCTTGACTTTCGAGAGCCAGATCTTGATTTTCGAGATCCAGATCTCGATCTAGACCTTGAAGCTGATCTAGCAGAATGCGACCTAGATCTAGATTTTCTAGAGCCTGATCTGGATCTTGAAGCTCTGTTTGAAGGAGATCTAGATCTAGATTTGGAAATATTCCTAGAGGCAGACTGTGAAGGAGATCTTGATTTTGAACGTGATGCCCTAGAATTTCTTGAATTCGATCTTGACTTCCTGGAACCTGATCTTGATCTAGATCTAGAACCTTTTCTAGATCCAGAAGTAGCTTTGACAGATCCTGAATGGGATCTGGATCTCGATCTGGAGCGTGATTTTCTTGATCCTGCAATAAATACCTCCATAACTCTCGTCATCGGCAATTTAACTGATTTAAAAATATGAACATATTAGTTAGTTTTAGGGGTATTAAATTAGTATGTGTTTATTTGATATATACCCTAATAGAATGTGAACAATATATTTACTATATAGACTCTAAAAAATCATACAATCCTAGTACCTGTATGCACATTAGTACTACCAGTAGTTAATTATTAATCAGTTACATACATGTACATATTTTTTCCAAAAATAAATTGAATTGTTCCAAACTGCACTAGTACCTAGTTATACATACGTTAACACTTTATTTTACAAAATATAATGCATAATGTTTTATTATTATTCACATTTCCATGAAGGAAAAACTATAACTACTTATTACCTATAACCAAAGCATTTCAAATTGTATTTTAATCAGCACAATCTCTTTTATGCTAACGGGTTTGCTATGTGCATCTACTGAAATAAAATCAATTAACCTGAATGGGACCGAGTTGGAGATACTGAACCATCCTTTCTGGACTTATTCGATTCAGCAGATGGTGATCTTGATCTATAACTTCCATTGGGTGAAGCAATACTCTGTCCCGACAGCTTTGATGCATTTAATTCCGATCCTTCTGGAAGAAAGAAAAAATGTGAACTTGGCAAAGTAAAAGTAGCTCCTCACTTTGTAATTTTTATGAAACAAAATTAATTACCTGTTTCCACTTCCATTCTTATATTCTAAATTATCCTTTATGTTGAAAGCTTTTATAATTTCAAACTTTAAGTTAAACAACGCAGCAATTAGACAGAAAGCGAAAAATATAAATATATGACATTTCAGTCAGACTTCATTTTATCATTTTACATCACAGACCACAGACGCACACGATATCAGATACAGTAATGTTTCTTATGCTATGCCATTGATTTACGATAGCTTTAAGCCGCGTAAAGCTAAGGGTTACGGGTCAAATTGAACGTTGAGGTTGGACTTGCTCGTAGTTCTGAGGGCCCTTCGATTTGGCAAAAAT